CACACACACACACACACACACACACACACACACACACACACACACACACACACACACACACACACACACAAAGTGTTTGTTCTGTAAGAAACAAACCCTTCTATCCTGCTCTCTGACATGTGCTTCCTCAAAGTGTTTATGCTGAAGCAGAAAGTCCAGGAAAAGCAAACTAGGATGGGTGGCATTAAAACAATCAGACCAAATGACTGATCAACTCAATTAATCATTAATTCTCCTTTAAACAGGAAAATGTGAGTCAAACTTTATTGAACTGAATTAATTTATAGTCACGTTTCCTGGACACCTGCTGTGGCCATATTATTCACCACTGTGTGCTGAGTTCAACGGAAGGGAGGCTGAGTATAAACAAAAATAAATTTTGGAAAATCTGAAAGAAAATACATTTAACTGTGTTTACTTGACAGATTGCACCCGTGAGTCCACCGTTTAAGCCTTGCCTGGCTACTACAGGCTCCAGGGCCGTGCCATGTGTCTAACTTTGTGCTACAGTTAGTTCAAAAAAATCAACAAAGTTTTAAAACTTGCAGATCTTATCAATTAAGAGGAATTTGGGGGAAGGCCTAAAGTTCTGCACGTTAGAGTGCTATAAAACCTTTAATGACACTCTGTGTTGAAAGCATGCCTGCTCATGCGGCTGTAGAGCACAAATGTACAGGATTTCATTACAACGAATCAGAGGAAAGTGATGTAAATTAGAGGACTTTTGCTGGGTGGCTGGGGTCAAAGAGTGCTTTAAGCCCCACGTATTTTAGGTCTCACCCTCTGTTTCCTTTGCAATCACATTTCATTAGTGGGGTCATATTTTTGAGAATCCATAGAATATAATCAGCAAGTTCGCAATGAAGGGCAGTTGTAATATGTTTCACCTGAAACACATTACATCAAAAATACGTTCTTCTATTATTATTTTTTTCCTGTTAAAAGAGCCCCTTAATCCTATGATGTTGAGACAAGGAGCTGTGTGGAGGACATGAAATGGAAAAAGCCATTTGTCATCACCAACATTTCCAGCCGGGTGACAATTTAAAATGTGAATTTACTGCTGTCTTGGAGCTCAGCCAAGTGGTTTTGACCGCTAGAAGAAAAGAGAGGACTATTTCACATTTGTGGTGAATTCTACTAGCTACTGTTTTGGGCCTTAGCAGGTTTTTCTGGGTTCTTTGGTGGAGTGAAACTGACTCTGAACACAGCTTGACATATTATCCCATTACACATGTATCATATATGATGTAACACTGGTGTTAATCTGAAATACTTCTGTTGGATGAAAGTGCTGAAAGTGTTTTTGGTTTAAAATCTAAAGGCTAGGTTAAATTGCAAACAGCTTTATACAGATAAGAGTAAGGTGACTGGCCTCCTTTATAGCTCATCATACTTATACTTATCGTTAAATGTAACTGTTAATGCGAAAATCCTCCAATTCACAAATATTTCAGGAGAGTCTAAGACCTCATCCACATACAGCAGCAGTCTTAGTGTCTCATGAGCCATCGGAAGAGTCCCTTTGAGACTGCTCCACCTGTGACGGGGCTGCACCGTGCTGAATCATATTAGTGACTTGGGGAGCCATGTTGAAACACAGCATACCACAACTCCCGTGTGAATCTCAGACCTCTTCATTACAGCGGCTGATAAGCGAGCATTAGCCTCTATCTCTAGGCCCGCCAACTTTCTCCCATTTCCTTATCAAAGATTCCGCAATGCCCAAGAAAATATTTGGTGGGAAAGCTGAAATGTATCCCACAACTAAAAGGCTTTGCAAGCTCTTAGTGGCAGATCCTCGTGATTGGAAGGACATGATAAGATAAAACGCTGTGGACCAGAATACTGAAACAGCATTTTGTTTTTAAAAGGTCTCAATTCTACATCCAAATGTATCAGGACAGCGATTATCCACGCAGCATTGTTTCTTTGTTACGCTCTCCCAGCTGTTGTGATGATTTTGTGGAAAACTGTGCTCATTACTGGAAGCTGGAGCAAGCAGGAGGTTTTGAGCAGGCTGCCTGCTCTCACCCATGCAGTGTAATTGGCTCTCCTACTCAGTGAGGTATCTCTTAATAAAGCAGAGTACCTCTGTCTATCCATCTATCTATCCCTGGCGCCATCTTTCCGCTATGCTCAGCAACATTAGCCGCATGAGAATAACAGGGTTGCAAGAATGCCCCAAACCTATTTCAAGATTAGTGGTTTCAGTTGACAAGCTGCTACAGTATAATACTAAATCCTTAGAAGCTGCACTATCATAACCTTAAACTTGGACTCGAGGCAATGCAGGGTGGAGCTGATCTAACTACTATTAGCCATAAAAAAGGGACGACGACACTGGCATGACAGGGGCTCATGGGCAGATGCTGATGACCTCAGGAGCCCACAAATCACCACCCGTCATGCAGTCTTACATCTGGATGCTCACACTGTGTTTTTTACTCCCACTTGGGATGACAATTTGTTGCACAATAAATAAAATCTGTTTGCTTTAAAAAAATGTCTTCGTGAACATAACGTGTCAAAGATTGTTTGAAGTGACGGACTGTTTTTCAATGAAGAAAAAAATGGTATTAATTTATGTAGATTTAGAAAATCCTGAATCGCTGTTTTATTTATTTATTTATTTATTTTCATTTCAGGTATTGAGTTGTTTAAGTTGATGGAGAAAGCACGGTGGGTATACATGTGACACATTGTAAAGTCCCATCTTGCTCTGTTTGCGGACTTGAAGCATGAAAATATGCCTGACAGCTGCGGGGAAACATATGCAGCTGATAAGCTTGAGTTAAAACAACTGGGTATTCATCTGGAGGTGATCAGAGGATAGTTCTACCAGGAAAGACACATTCCAGTTATGATGAGATTCAGCTCTAATTAAGCGAACTCCAACAAAAACACGTCCTCCAAAGAAAAATAAATCTAATTAGAAATGCCACGCTGTCGTTTTCTGTCTCCCGCACTTTGTGTCAACATAAAAAGATGTATTGTAATGCATACGAGAACTCTTCGAGAAGCCTTACAGCATGCATAACAAAACACTGACTGTAGAGTAAGAGGAAGTGAGAGTACAAGATATGCTGCTGCTTTCATTATATAGTTCAGTTCTCCCTTTTTACTCATTACTCCTCATTATATCTGCTGCACAAGTCAACAACAAAAGGAAACATCGTGACAGATACCACGAGCCAAGATCTGGGGGAACAGATTGGAAATGCTGCCACCTAGTGAGCATCTTGAGGCAATAATAATTTAAAAAATCCAAAAAGATTTTATACCATCTATCCATCCATCTAGTTATATTCTGCTTTATTTTAGGAAAGACTGTAGTTGAAATGTTGACATACTCACTGGATTCACTGGATTTCATTATGCTATTTCTGAAAATGTATCGGCAATAGGAAACAATTTTAAATTCCTTTAGAACACATCTATGCTACAACCCTTTCATCAGTTTTGGCTTGAACAAACTATACTAAACAGCATCCTATGTCCTGTAGACATGAAACAGCTTCTGTTAAAACATGAGAAATGATACACCAGATATTTGTATATTAAGCTGTGATTGTATAGAAATATCCTAAATTATTACAGTGGAGATTATTGTGGACTTCAGGAAGCACACAGCCCCACTCCCCCCCATCATCCTGACTGACACCCCCATCACCTCTGTGGACTCATTCCGCTTCCTGGGTACCACCATCACCCAGGACCTGAAGTGGGAGCCCACCATCACCTCCGTCATCAAGAAAGCCCAGCAGAGGATGTACTTCCTGAGGCAGCTGAAGAAATTCAACCTGCCAACACGGATGATGATGCAGTTCTACACTGCAATCATCGAGTCCATCCTCACCTCCTCCATCACCGTGTGGTACGCTGGAGCCACTATCAGGGACAAACAGAGACTGCAGCGTGTTGTGCGCTCTGCTGAGAAGGTGATTGGCTGCAAACTCCCATCTCTGCAGGACCTGTACACCTCCAGGACACTGCGGCGTGCAGCCCGGATCTCAGCTGACCCTTCTCACCCTGGACACAGTCTGTTTGACCTGCTCCCCTCAGGCAGGAGGCTCCGGTCCATTCGCACCAGAACCTCTCGCCATAAGAACAGTTTCTTCCCCTCTGCTGTTGGACACATGAACAATAACCACATGACTGTCCCCGCCACTAACACATGACCCTACGCTGTGTCACTGCATCATTTCATGTTTGGCACTGATCACCACCTGCACTCATGTATATATCTTTCTTTGTAGCACTCATAATTCTTATTCTCATGTATATATCTCATGTATATCCCATGCACATATCTTTCTTTCTACATAGCACTTTAATTCTTATTGTTTGCACTGAAGCACCGCAGCAATTTCCTAATGTTGTAAACCTCAACATCTGGCAATAAACCCCATTCTGATTCTGATTCTGATTCTGATTCTGATTCTGATTCTGATTCTGATTCTAAATGATCCTATATGAAGACATGATACGGGTGTTATGGACACTTTAGAGACATGCAGTATCAGATGAGGAGAGCAGTTCTGTCAGCAGCCACTTGGTGATGCTCTCTCAACATGCAGAGGGCTCCACTTGACATTTAGGGATAATACTCTAAATGAATAAAATATTGCAGACTCATTTTTCATGAAGCAGACTGATAAGTCAATAATCCACGCAAAAGCCTGATTTTTCTTATTAAATCTGCACCACAATCACAGAGAAAGGGGAAGGAAATGAAGCCTAGCAGAGCACTTTGTGAGATCATTTTAAAACTTTATGACAATTAAGGATTAGATTGCACAAATGGAACGTCATGTCCCCGATATTTTGTATATTGAATGTGATAACAGAGGAAAATTTAATTAGAGGCTCGGCAAATATTCCACAATCTCACAATTCCTCTCTAAGTCAGTCTGGAAAGTCACTGGCAACATGGAATCTGCTTGAAAATGATAACATCTGCATTAAACAACGTAAACTGACAAAGCGAGTTCAAAAAACAAGCCGTGTCAAATGCAAGACTCATCGGTCACTATTATAGTTAGAGTGGTGCCGAGGGTGAAGGCTGATCCGTCGCCTTGGAAGGAAATTCCTTGCTGCAGTCTTCCTGACTTCCTCATTAATCAGCCCCCTCTAGTCAGTGCCAATGAATGCTGACATGCTGAGAAAGACACTGAAAATGCTGCGATTAACGTATACATTTACAGAAGCTGCAACTGAAGATGCGATCTGGGTGACAGGGAGTGACGAACATTTCCACGGTTACATAAAAGTATGAATTGAGCGAAATACTGTAAGGTGTAAGCAAATGTAAAACTAATCAACTCTGGAGGGAAAACAACACAAACCATATATCTGCTTTCTATCCCCTTCTTGATGAGTGAACTGCACAAAAGCTTAAGTACCTATTTCCCATAATGAATGGGGAAATGGGTAGCTCTGAAGCACATATCCATCAGATATTTTACAGACTGCAGAAATGCAATCAAGCGTATTGATGTACACAGACTCTTAAGTATAAATCCGTGGGTTTTATTCAAAGGGCTTTTAGTGGCAAATCAAATGAGCTGAGCAATCTTTTCCAGACAGAGCAAAGCATCTTACGCCTTCTAAAGTTATCTGATGGCACCAAACATGTACACAGGCATGGCAGGGGGCTTGAGGTGACTTCCCATGGAGTTGTCAAACTAATGTACCACTTTGATTTAGTATTTTTTTTGAAAGTAGGTCAAAGATCAGTATAATCAGAAAAATCAGAAGGAAAAACTTTGAGGTAATTGCGCGTATGTGTGTACTTATGTGATGTATTTTCATTAAACTAAGTTTGAGAAGTTTATTTGAGCACACCGGGACGCACTTGATTAATGAGGCCATCCTCTGGCTTGTATGCATATGCGGGGCTCAAAAGCATTGTTGATTTAATTTGATTTCTTCACGATGTACAAATAAGTGGGCTCAGAAATAATGCATTAGTGAGCGTAAAACAAACACACACTCGGGAGCTGAGACGTAACACAACTGATGCAGTAACAAAACAGAACTAGTTCATTAAGAAACGTGATAGTAATTCATTATTTAGCTCAAAAACAGATTTAATAGTAGTTAATGGTTTACCTTTATTAGTATGCTTGGCTTTTTTGGTTTAAACCTTATATTTTGGATATTAGACTGATGGTTTGTTACAATGTCATTGTATTATGATATTAAATTAATCATGTGTAGGTGGAATCTAGTTAGCCTAAATAGCCTATATTGTGAGAATATTTGTGACTCAAACTGCTGCAGTTATGATTAATTACTCTGTAAATCACTCTAAAATAGTTTGGGGGAATTCTAGACTCAGGGGGTGGGTCAATGCATAGTAATTTTGGACATTGAAACATGTCTAAAATACCTGGTGTGACTGTAGGGATAGACTATACACTGATTTTGCTGTAAAATGATAACAAACCATCTTTGATGATCATTACATTTCGAGTAGATAGCTAAAAGAAAAGGGACTTCAGCCATGACCACTTCGCTTTGCTGAAGGTTGAGTCTCATTTGATGCCGTGGATTTACATGATCAGAAACAAAATCCAGGAAAGTGAGAGCAGCCGATCTCTGCAAGCCCATATCATCTGACAGCTCAGCTATGAGCTGATGTACTGGGACCTTGAGGTCTGCTTGATCTAAACTTGTGCTTAAATAAGTTTATAGAAAAGTAAGATACGCTGATCTGTTGAGAATTTAAATTTTATTATTTACCTCACATAGGGTAACAAAAGAAAACAGAAGCACATGATATAACTTTTCAGGAGTTTGTGGTTTGAGCTCTTAATTGGAATTAGCCCAGTCAGATAAGACTGGAAGTCAAGGTTGAAAGCGCTGATAAAAGTGAGTTTGGACCCTGAGTTTAGTTACATTTTTTGGTTAAAAATTAAATTGCTTATATAATTTTATATACATTTTTTGATATTTGTATTTGTATATACAAATAGTTTCATATAAAAAGCAATATAATAATCTAATTTGTTTTTAAATTTTGCAGGACACTGGAAATGGCATGGATAAACGACATCTCCACTACTGAAAAAAATATGGACAACTTCTTTCCTCAAAAGGGTTTGAGATCCTTTTGAAGAGCTTGGAACAGCTGGATTAGGGTGTCGGTCCATATCTCTTTCTGGTGCTTGTTGGTGATACGAGCCAGGGTCTGAGTGGTGTACACTAACGTCAGCACTGTCCTCTCAAAGTCCTGCCAGCTCAGAGGTTGGCGCCGCTGGGTGAGCTCAGCCGTCAGACGCCTGATGTCGGAGAGCCTTTTAGGCAGTACTTCCTCACAGATGACTTCCAGCTTTTCCACACTTCTCAGGGAGGCCAACTCCTCATCTGGAATCAGCAGGGTGTGTCCATCACCTTGTATCTGCATTCCACCCAGCAGAATCTGGGATATAGATAGGCATCCACTAAATTCACATTCACATATATAAGCAGCTAACTGAAAAATGGAGTTGCTAGCAAGGTCACGTCCTATTTCAATCTGTTCCAAAGAGCCTAATCATCTAAATATTTTGAAATGAGCTTAAGATGGCATAAGAAAGTAAAATATCTTTTTCATCAATGTCACCAAAATATCTCACATTCCTGCTAATGATTAGGAACACAGCAGCGGTACACAGTGTTTTGTTCTAATCAGCAGGGTGAGGCCACAAATGTGTTATTTTTAGAAGTCTTGTGCACATTCTAAGCATACTGGTTTCCTTTAAAGAAACACTAGCTCATGAACTATTTCGGGGCTTAACTGACCTCAAAAAGCAGCTTGATGTCCTCCACTGAGTGCTGGAATGTGGGGTTGATCAGTGAATATGTTCCCCGTTTTATCCTGTATGCAGATGGGTACAGCACTAGAACACACAAGAAGAAAAAATTGGATTATAGAATCTCCCTTTTCAAAAATTAAGGCAGGACATTATTTATTGTGACATTTAGAGGTTGAGTAAACACATATTCATTACTGTTCAAATATTATGTATGTGGTTGAGACTTGGGCTCCAGCTGTGAAGAGATCAACTGGTCTTTGACCTGAGCCACAGTTGCTACAAGCACCAGCGGCCTGGTGCCCCCAGAGGTGCGATATCTGCTTATTGACTCGTGGAAGGGCAGGTGTAACTGACCTCATTTGGTCAGGCTTCAAAGTGTCAGCCCATATGTGTAGCAGACGGGGGATCTCATAATGTGAGGTGTCCTGATACGGCTGGAATGAAACCCCTCACTTTCAGCTAGAAACAGTTTCTGCTGCCGCCTCATTTCTGTGATAAAATTGAGCAAAATCCATATTTTCCTGGAAGTGATAACAAGAGGCTAAACCTCACATCTAGAGGTGGACAGCAGCTAACATTACTCACATACTTTCCTAAGTATCTGATGTACTAACAATTAAGCACGGGGCTATTTTGGAATATTTTGTTTTTACCCTAATTCAGAGGTTTTTAAAATTCTTTTTAAATGCACATTGTACAGTGTGATGAAACTTCAGAGTTCATAATTCTGGACCACCAGAGTGAGCTGCTCTATAGAGATGTGAAATTGGAAAGAAAAATCCAGCAGAAGCCTAGCTCAGGATCTAGAGGAGATTCATCAGGTCCTTCAGTTGATCTGTCTGCCGATCACTGAAGCCTGATCAGAAATGGTCTCAGTGGAAGAGTGGCTCTCAAGAAGGAAGGGGAACAGAGAGAAAGGGCTGGGGTAAGTTAAATTACACAAGAACTGATATGGTTAATCCCATTTTACAACTTTTGTTACAAATCGAGTCAATTAGTTCACTGGTCTAAAATGAAAAATAACATTATGGTCTAAATTGTCTAAATGACATAGCTGTGTCTAAGAAATGATTTGTGAACTTCCTTAATCTAGCAACACATTTGCATTATAATATTTTGGATAGGAGTCCTGTGTGACAGTGAACAGATATTCCTACTGGCAAGTTTATTCCAGGCTAAAAGAAAGATTAAGAGTCACACGAGAATGTGCAGGGTCTGTTTGTAATAATATAACTTTGAATACTGCCCAGACTTTGAAAACTTTTTTATGTATCTCTGTTATCTCTCCAAGAACCATTTTTGTTAATGTAGCATCAGGAGAAGGAACTGAAAATCAAATTTGATTTGCACAGAAGGAGGTTTCACAGTATAATGAATTAAGGTAAAACTTCCTCTAGGGTTCTACAGCTGTTCAGCTCTCTTTTTCCATTGCTACCCATATTCTGTTGCCGTCCAGTACTCCATTCAGCGTGTAAGCCAACACACGGAGATCTTAATGAGGTATACAGTATATAAACACTGGCATTCATGTGAATTTGGATGTCATCCTTCCTCTCTGCTACAGTGGCATCTATGGATTGCTGCTTCACCAATTCTGCAGTAATGATCAGCTTGACTGCCTGCAGCATCGCTGGCCAGATACATTTAGCTTTATAGCAATTGTCAGGCCAGCCAAAGCCACACAAATTGGCAGAGCTCCCTATGTACCTGCTTCCTGCTTGGGCGACTGCCAGTCTCAGCTCTGGCCTTCCTTTCGCAGCACAGCCACTGCTCTCAATGTAAAGAAATGTGTAGCTCCACATTTCCATGTTGGGGTTCCAAAAATCTGGCACATCTGTGTAATCTTTAGCATGTTACCTCAGTCCTTCCACCTGCCCCACCGTCAGGGGCCATAGCCAGACGTTGTGAAATCTCAAATAAACTATAATATGAATTTGGGTTTCAAGGATCAAAACATATGTACTTATTGTAAATTCCAAATGCAGATGAAATGCTGTTCACGACCCTCATCATAATGTCAGAAATCAATAAAAGTTCAAACACTTCTAATGGAGAAGTTTGAACTTGTTGAAGAGTGACTCTGAAGCAATATAATATGCAACATGCACAGTTGTTCCAACCCCCAAACACCAAAGACAAGTAGAGAGAAGATTTCCCCAGATCAAGTACTAACATCCAACTCTAAGTGGATGACAACTTGTAGGTGAAAATGTATACTCCTCATTGAGTATGCAGCTCCCAAATGCATCAGGTATTGTGGAGGAGCGATGCCTGTGCAGACATATTAGTTACCGAATAGATACGGTAGCTTCAGCGGGCCATTGCTAAAGTAAACAATACAACACCCGAGGGTGCTCATTAGAACAAGGGTTATATCGTTAAAGGATTGAGGTGATGCGGGGAAATGACAGCTTGGAGGCCAGCCCAGCGCTGATTTACATCTAAAATTAATAATCTGTAATTTACATAAAAAGGCTCTGCTACTACTACAATAGTCCTTTGGCATGTAGGAAAGTGTGTGTTTTATGTTTATAGCAGCTCCAATAGCACTTTGGAATAAAAATATTATAGCTTGTTATAGTTGGAGCTGCATTAGTGTATATGTGCACAGGCAATAACAGTAATTCTAGTCATTCCATTAAATTGTTCGATTTCTCCCAGCACAATATTGTGAGGGCGATACTGACTTAGAGGAAAGATAGGTAGGGGCACACACTGGATATCTAAATGAATCATGCTTAAAGATTACAATGAAAATGAACTAGCTTATAAGTTTGAGACACTGTGACTGACAATATGGCCAATAACAAAGAAAAAGGGCACATATACGTAGAAAGGAGCTAATGAAGGAGCACAGGTGGTTGTGAAGGTCAGGTAGAGATAACAGATGTGAGAAATTGAGGCCAGTGCAGAAAATGTACTGAACTTTGCCGTGACAACATATAAAATCCAGGAATTTATCATAGTGAAGGAGAAATAATGATATTTAGTCATTTTTGATTACCAACCGCTATGCAAAACTAATGTCTTTGATTATGCTGCGTTAATGTGCAATATTTATGAATGTGAAAGTGACATCTCAGCTTTAATCACTACGATTTTATCACATGTAAGTGAGGAGGCTGGTGAAGGTAGGCTGTCCATATATGTTAGAGCTGGATTTTTCAGGCTTTTCCATGAAGTTGTTTTTGGTGGGTGGGGGGTCGGGAGGTAGGGGTCGGCTAACGTGCAGGCGAACAAACCATCACGAGGTGATTCATTCTTATGAGCAAATTTTTCTTTTTTCTCATTTTCAGCTTGAATGTTTAATATACTGCTGATGTCCTTTATCACAACATATCAGCTTTCCCTGCTGCTTGTTCTAAGCCCATTCACCCGTCATGCTCCCCTCCCTCCTTCGGCGCTCCAAACAATCAATGTTTGGATGGGCAGGCTTCCCCCCAGTGTCATTATGTAGAGGCAGGGAACTTGTAATCTCCCGCTAACTGCTTGCAAGGAGATGAGGGAACAACAAAGATCCATTAATTAGCTGGGCTAAATGGTACTCCTGGCTGGAAGGATGTCTTGACGAAGACAGAAAGAGAGAGAAGGAAAAACAATCAAAAACAGAAAAAAAAAAAAAACCCAAATGAATGTCTGGATCCCTCCAGCGTACGATAAAAGAGGGTGAAAAGGACACAGGATACAATGAAATCTTCCCTGCAATGGACCATCTTCTACATTTCACTATATCTCCAAATAATAGAAAATGGTAAAATCCCAATCCATGACAGTATTGTAGTGAGAGAGAGATTTAAATTCTACCATTTATGATGTAAACACAGATCATCATAAATACTCCGAATAACTGTGAGGCCAGCAGTAGTAAAGCCCAGCTGCAATAAAGTCATGCAGTGGTGCCAGGGAAGCTGATATATACTGGGGACAGTGGTGACAACTGGAGATATGGGAGAAAGGTTGCAGTTTCTCCTGGTTCCCCATCACCCACACTCCACCTCATGGAGGTGTGAGCTTAGCCTTTAATAACCCACACAAGCCTGGGCACATTCCCAACTCATCACTTGGTTAGTTTCTTCTGTGATTAGTTGGTGTCACGTTTACATGCAGTGCCCTTTAACATTGTTTTTCAAAATATGCTAATGTTGTGAAGAGGCATATAAAACCTATTGCAGGAAGAGATGATTCAAGGTCACATGATCCAGCTGTAACTAAGCTTCATCAGATTGGAAAGTTTTAGGCCTAATCCTAAAAGTAGAGAGGGTATCTATTCTCAGTACCAGTGTTCAATAGCTCTATTGTCTTATTCCAACTAAAGAGATGGGTTTGCAACCAGCAACTGCTAAACTACTAAAGTTGAAGTCATGTCATGAACCGCTGTGTGTCTAAAGGTTTTGTAGATCTGATGAAGCAAAACAGGAAAACAGGTCTAAATAATAACAGCTTCAATGCTTCTTATTTCAGAGAATCAGAAAGTCCAAAGTCAAGTCCAAAAATCCTTTAGTCAACGAAGCATTTAGCTGGGGAATCCAACACAAAGAACACAAAGCTAAGGAAACACACAACTATATGCAACAAAAGACAAAGGAATACTGAGACAACATATATACAAAAGGTAATGCAGGAAGAGGAGACGGGTGAGGACCAAAACCAAGCTGAAGCCAATCAGGGAATCAGTGAGGACAGGGACAGGAACAAAAGCTACACTCAACATGAATAAAAACAGAACCCTTTAAAGTAAAGACAGACAACAAGATGGAGTGAACATGAAGACAAAGATGACAAAGACAAACAGAGATGAGACAGAAGGAGGAACAGAAAAAGGGGAACTAATTAAAAACAACCCTAAAGTTACTGTTTTAACAGCAACTGAAGGAACAAATAACAAGGCTAGAAAGACAAAACTTGTAAACACAAATCAATTAATGAGTAAAAAAATTAAACACTAACAATAACAGAAACCTAATCCAAAGATCACATAACTTCAAAACTACAAAGAATTCTGAACTTGAAAATTCAAAACCCTGGGTCCAAAACCGGGTGACCACTTGTTTAACCATTCACAGAATGATCGCAGATCAGTTGCTCACTACTTCCTAAAACTTGTTGGCTTGTTGGTGGTTTAGTAATTGGTGACCTGAAGGCCAGACAGAGATTGTAGAGTTTGTATGGAAAGTCCCTGACACTCACCAACGCTGGCCGAGCAGTACTTTTCACAGTTTCAACTGTGAAAAGTGAGACAGAAGCAGGAAACATTTACTTTCAAGTTAAAAGCTGTGCCTAGTGTTTGCAGACAATCCGATGTCTTTACTGCAAATTCTGCTAATCACCAAAGAAATCACAAAGAGATTTTTGGTGCAGGACTCTCTTCGCTGTTGATTTCACCTACAGACACAAACCTAAAGACAGTACTTGCCAACCAGTTTGGGAATACTTTTCAGTTATGTATGACAATGTTAGACTGTCATACTGGTGTCATACTGCAAACTGACCAATGACTGATTGTCATGAGTGCTATTCACAGAGCGCTGAATGGCTACAACCACATCGTTGTAAGATGATGAATGATGAAATATATACTCTTAGGCTCTCTCTTTGATTCAGCGATGGCTGCCCAAATCAGCGATCCTCACTGTCCTGAATGTGCACATCCTTATCACCGAAAGAGCGGCTGCTGGCCTGTACATGTAAACAGAGCAGTCCTGGACTGATTCTATGCTGTGCTATCCACTCCTCCAGTGTGAACTGAGCTGCTTGCAGTGAGATTGTAAATAGAGAACTGCTGTTTCCCTCAACTCCAGGAACATTTCTGAACATTAGCTTCACTTTCTTTCTGCTCTTGTTTAGAGCAGCAGTGGGCAGTTGTTGACAACACAGACAATTAATGCATGTTCAGAAACTTTTTATTGACAGTGTCACTTTGGATTTTTGATTTATTGCTGAAGGGGGAAAAAAAGTCTTACAAACTTTTAATAAAACAATGATTAAAAAATGATTTCCTGGATTTTGGTGATATGGTATAACAATGTAAACAATTCTGAACTTTCTTTGTTTTTGCTGGCTTCAGCATCATGTGACTTGTCTACAGATTTCAAGGCCTGCGAGTGATGAGAAAGGAATTTCCTCAGTGAGTAGATCCAGTAACAACAGGCCAGTCATTTTTCGCTGGAAAACGATCTGCTGATGTCCTGCAAACTGCAATGTTCCTGCTAACTGAAGAGGATAAACACATTCTTTCACAGCTGGAACCACAGACTCGTACCAGGACTCAGCCATCACAATTTGACTCTGTCTCTGTCTTCTAGTAATATTTTAAATGATCCCACAAATGAAAACAGAATAATTTTTGATGCAAATATACTCAATGGTGATAAAATTGCCATTTATCTCATAATAGAGAGACACTAATCAGACTCTTAATAATTGCGCATTTAGACCTAATTACCAGAGCTTGTGTGCCAACATACCTTTCCTGTGGTGCTGACTGGCAGCACAGTAGCTGCACAGGTAAACAACAGTGAGTAAAGTCCACCACTGTGCCATGCTGATGCTCACAACCAAGATCCACTCGTACAAATCAGTACACACTCCCTTCTTTCTGAGTTCTGTCTCTCAGTCATAAATGAACATCTCAACGATGGATGAGAACCCTCCTTTCCACTTCATAGGCTTTGTGCATAGGATCATCTTTCACTGTGTTCAGTTTTCTTTTGTCCCCTCCCTTCTTCATCTACTTTCATTTCTTTTTTTTCTTTTTTTCATGTGTGTGTTCTCTTCTCAAGCCAGGGTGTCTGGGCTCTCATCTGGAATTCATCAGAATTTTGGGAAAGCCTGCCCTCTTGGCTGGACTTTTCTTACAGCTACTGGATGACTTTACTGGCTGAGTGGTTCAGCCACTGAGTGACTCTTCAGTTGACCAGGCAACTGAGCAAATGGTTGAGTGGCTGACGAAATTGCTAACTGAACATAATCACATCCACTGAGCTACAATAAAGCCAGTTATGAGAGCGATGGACTACTCAGGATAATAACTAATTTTACCACATTTATCCCATCACACTGTAGTCAGAGGTCAGACATGGGACAACAACTTTTTTTTTTCATTTATTCACAACATTTGAAGAAAGAAGCAGCCTGAAGTCCAAATAGGTTGTAAATAAGCCAAGAGTTCTAAGAAATAGTTCTTTTAACCCCCCCAATCTTCTGGATAGCAGACAGTGACAGATGCTATTTGGCTGTACAATATGATGGAGGTTAGTGCAGTTTATCTTCCACAAGTGGCATCAAACCAATATTTGAGATTATTTTAGCTTCATAAGAAAATGACCCAGGTGGGTGCTTAGAATAGAATAATTCTGGTATTTGCCTTTTATTTCCTTTAAGTATGTCTGGGTCACCTGAGGGTTCCTTAAGCCCCTTGCTTACTGCCCTACTACTTTATAGCCTGTGTACTTGTGATCCCAAATCTCATCATTTGATTACTGCAATCTATAATAAATGCTAGTGATTCTATTTACTCACTAAAAATGGAAACTGTCCCCCTTAAGTAGATTAACATTTTTGTTGTTGCTATATGCTTAAATTCTTGGTTATTTTATTACATTTTTCAAATTCATCTTTCAAGAAACAAAGTACCTGCCTTAAAAGAATTGTTTAGATGCAGGTAGGGACCCCAGTTCTGCCGCAGGTGTATTCCTGCTAAAAGGGAGTTTTTCCTTCCCACTGTCGCCAGGTCCTTGAACAAAGAGGGTCTTTTGATTGTTGGGGGTTTCTCTCTATCGTTGTAGAGTCTTTAACTCACAATATAAAGCGCCTTGAGATGACTGTTGTTGTGATTTGCTACTATGTTAAAAAATGGATTTGAAAAAGTTGAAAGTACATCAAGAAAACCCGACTGGAGACAAACAACTAGTCAACATCAACAACGCTGTGAGGACCGCTCAGAGCATCTTGATTAAAGGCTGTCAAGACTCTCTCCCCAAGTCTATATTCTCTCCTCCACAGTGCCTTCTGCTCTTTGTTGTCACAGAATATGTGCAATAAACACGCAGTACGCCTTCTTGTGCCAAGGCATATAATAGCCTGTGTAGGTGCTTTTGGATTTCAGATAGTATGCTTTCTTGGCTGATTCTCTAAGGCTGTGTCTGCTAAAATAAAGGAGATAATATTCCAGTGATGGTCTTGCGTAAAAGCAGTTAAAAAGACAGACACTTGTGGCCCTGCAGTAGATTAGAGAGCAATAATTAATTATTCAAATAGAGTCTAACGATATCAAACTTAAATGCTTATTTTAACAAAAACAAAGGTGATAAGAGCTAGTTTCTTATCGACACTATGCCATTTGAATAAACAATGAAGTCTACTTTCTGCATGAAGTTAACATCCACTTTTTGAATGGAAAGCCACTGAAGTTTCACCATTTGACAGAAGCATCAGTAGTTTATGTCAACAAATGCATTTAGATATGATCGCACAAGACAAATAGTTCTCTCATTTCATTTGAGTAGTAAATGAAAAGTCAGTGAGACGTTTGGGAAAACTTTCAGCTGATTTTAACAGTGTGAAAAATGACACAATCAGTGAAGGATTCATGCATTTCATTTTAGTGTGCCCAAAAAAATCTGATGGGAAATAAAGTGAAGAAGGTGCATGGAAGGATTATACAGCATGCAGCATAACAAAAATATTTTTAAAAAAAAAACAGCTCATCCTGCTTGATTAGGAGACATAAAGCATAGAAATGGTAATTTAGTGATATTAAGAAATTTGATTCATTTACACAGCTCTGAATTTATGTGCTTTTGCTTTACTGCCACCATATGTTTGCATCTTTGCTAGTAGCAGATGGGCGCCCAAGGTATAATGCCCTCAGCTTTCTTTAACCTACTCAACACAAAACACAGTTGCAAGGATGAGAACTCTGGAAGAGTGCCTCTGTGGGCAAGCTGTAAGTCTCGTTCGCATGCGATTCACATGAGTAACACGTAAGGCGCAGGCAGATGGCGTTCTGAAGGGCAAAACAAAAGCCCAAAACATAATTCTCTGCTGCTTATGTCCTTTGTGTTTGCCTGCAGGTGCACAGATTTAACTACTGTAAGACAAGAAAAATGGTAATGACCCCTGAGTGCGTGAGGTTGTACAAACACAGTCCGATCATGTGCAGTGTGAAAGAGAACCAGTTCTCTTGTCTCTGTAACCATGAGGGGGCAGTGTTACGACACAGATCCTGAGTGATCCACAATTTCCCAACTTATCCAAGATCCTGCAGTGATTGCTGCTGCTCCCCAACTCTTTTGACGATGGTGCATGAATTCCAAAATAATTGAATTCTATTCAGATAAGGTCTGGCAACGTGAATGCAGCCACTTAAGAGAGATCAAAGAGGTTGTTTGGGTTCAAACCAGGTGGGGACCCTCGAGACATCCTTTAGTTTAATTGCTTCTATGCTGCAAATCAGTGGAATGCCTCAAATATGCAAATTTACACGAGGCCACTGCACATCTGAACTTGCACGAGGCTTGCTTAACAGTCGAATTGCTATCACGCGAAAAGTCTGCAGCTGCAGTTTTATGTTATAATGCAATGAGTCAGGATAATAAATAAACACCTGATCTGATTGTGCAAATAAAGAAAATGCTGAGATTCGGACCGCTGGGGCTTGGTACCATTGCCCAGGTAAGAGACTGTGACTCATTGGGAGTGTTTGGAAGAATAGCGAAAACTTGTCATTTTATGATGTAGGTAGTTATTGGTTTGACATATTGCTGCAAGTAAAGCCTGGAGACCACAGCAAGCGACTGCTTATACACGTTTAAACACATTACCTGGGGAAAATGCTTCCAGAGCATATACAGTACTGTTAATATACATGTATATAATGTTGTTCAGTTCAATGTTTCTTTTTAGTTTTAATCCTCAACCAAATCTCTGCTGAGACACCTTCCTTTTTAATTATTTCACTGTAAATGACAATTGGTTCTTGCTTTGTGCTCAAGGTTGCAAAGAGGTAAAAATAAAATAAAAATCACAAGGACCATATTAAAATAAAATAAGAAATGAAAGTAAATATCAGAGACAAGGTTGCAGAGAAAAGTGCATCATGAGGATAAATACAACTTAGGAGTCCAGGCTTTAGAGAAAGAGTGAAAAAAGTTTGAGAACAGTTAGAAATGAACTCTTAGAGTTTAAAACCAAGATCTATTGATTGACCATAGTTAGTGGCAGCATGGCAGCCGTCACAACAAGTGAGGCCAGTGTGAGAATGGGCTGTCTAGAGAATCTCTACCTACCTGGCAGGAGGCACATCACACTTCAAAACAACTCAACAAAATACTGCGAGCATGTGAGTGCTCAACCACAATGCCTAATCATCATACCTCAAGCAGAATAATTACCTTGACTGTCCATCACACCTCTGCAAACAATTTCATCAGGGCTCGTCAGCACAGAAGCACAGTCACAGCACTGAGTCTTTAAATGGAGCTAGCATGTCTTGGACAGCTTGGAACGTCACGATCAGCCCTCGTGGGTGCCGGGTGTCTCCAAACCCTAAAAAGTAGGTACTTGTCTGCCTGATATATCCTACACACTAGAGAGGAGACAGCTACAGCAGCATGTTAGCCTAAACAGGCCACCTGTCACATTACTTTGGCATGCAGTATTTATTACCAAACAATATCCCAATTAGCCATGACAGGAAACAAAGCTTTGTAACACTTGAGAAATTAATAGAACGTGTTTGCAAAAATCATGTTGCTAATTTTCTCCTATGTTCTCCTGTTTGACCAATTAATTTATAATAGCCTGATTCATAGTCAGCTGTGCAGCCATTATTACAATGCACGAGTGTAAAACAGCAAAACAACATAAATAACTGTCTTCGCAGTTTAAAACCACAGACACACTCATTAACATGATGTATAGCATAGATTTTAAATTCTTTTCTTTCTTTTTTTTTTTTCCAATAAAAGCTACCACTTTCAGACAGTGGTGTTGGGGAACTATGAACACAGAAAAGTAGTATCAGATTTTTATCCACCATGCAATACCATCTGGAAAGCATCTGATTGGCAACAACTTCAATTTTCAGCTTGACAATTATCCCAAACACATTGCCAATGCAGTAAAAACATACCTGGACAGAAAAGCACACAGTGGCTCACTACCAGTCTTGGGTTACCAAGAGCCCGAACTTCAACACTACTGAAACATGTGGGAACATCTGGACAGAGAACGTAACAACATCCAAAGAAAAGGTTTGGATGTCCTTCGAGAAGCCTGGATAACTATTTCTGAAAACTACTCAAAGACATTAGTAGAAAGCTTGATTAAAAGAGTTCAGGCTGTGCTGAAGAATGAAGGTGGCTTTAGAAGGGACACACATCCAGAAGTTGCAGTAGTTGCTGCAGAGAGGGATATTTTATTTCAAGCCAACAGGAAAATAATCACGGAAATAGTTTAAAGAGACATTACGAACACATAGAAATGCATATTAGCTACGCAGCATAATTTTTCCCAGCACTGAATGCCACTGGAATGTACTTCATGCACTTCATACCTTTCTTTGGTCACTAGCGACTTGGCTTTAAACATATTATCTCCCCCTGCTGGTACTGCAATTTGCTGCAACTTGTGCATGCACGTCCATTTCACGGTAAAGTGGGAAATGGACATGGTGGACT